TGCAAGGCGCAGTGCTTCAAAAACTTGTCACAAGCCCCGTCCATTTGTGCTTGTTCCCATTTTCACTGAATAACTGGAAAGTGAATATTATTCTGTATAAGAATTTGCTCATCCCACCTCTTTCTCATATATTTTACAAAGGAAACCCAGAAGTGAAGCAGAGCTTTACTTCAAAGTACTCCGAGATCAGCTTTTGAAAAGCCCACTTCTAATTAATATTAAGAGTGACATGACATAAGAGGTGACTCTTGAAAGAAACACATTCAATGAAACCACTCTAGTCATTACATTCACCAAGCACGGGAGCCTTTTTTCTCTGAGGTGGACTGAACCTGACTTTTCACTTTAAATTATTTATATCACACTATCACTTAGGGGACCCATTTAAAAATCAGAACGATCCTGTATTAGATGCTGTACAGCCAAATAATTAAAGGACAACCCTTGGCAAATTCTCACACTTGAGCTCTCAATATCAGAAGTTACCTCTTCAACAGCAAAAGCTAAGTGGCAAGTTTTATTAGCACAATAGTAAGATCGCACTGTCAAATCACAGGAGCAGAAGACTGCAAGTGTATTTCTAACTTTGACAGAAGGTCTTCGCACAACCTCTGTCACGTTGCTTTCCTCTCAGAACGCCCTTTACCTCACCCCAGAAACCAGAATGATGACAATGATTGTTTGTACAGGTGACCACGGAGCTGACTTCAGAGATCTTCAGCTATCTTTTGCCAGAAGGCGCTCCAGACAGGCAGAGCATTACCACCAGAAATCTGGTGTGAGAAGGAAGGGTAGATACCAGCATACAGCTCCAACAGAAGAGGAACATTATCAGTAACCTGGCATTTCCCAGTTGGTATTCTTTCCATAGTCCTGGTTTCCTACCTGTATCCAGTATTGTTCCTGCCAACTACAAGGTGCTTTGGTTGTCTGTCACACATGTAAATGTTAAAGTCATTTTCTGGCACCAGATCCACGTCATGGAAAATGAAACAGTCCCAGTTCGCTTCTTTTAGGGCCTCTAGGTATCCTACATTCAGCAGTTTAGCTCGATTAAATTTGGTGCTGCCAGCCTGTGGAAGAGAATGGAAAAAACCTCTGAAGAAGGTGTCAAACCTTTTGAACCAGAACTGCTCCTGGGCATTTGTTCTACTCTTGTAGTCTGCAGCCGCATTCGTGCGTCACAGCCTTTACAGCAGTGAGCTACACAAAGAGCTACCCCATAACTTTAGATACAGCAGCAGAGTGGCCAATGATGCAAAGTGTTTCTTCAGTCTCTACCTGTCATGAACAAACAGAGACAAGGTCAGGAGAGCCTGCGGTTATCTGGGCACCAGAAGTATGCATGCTGCATGATGCAATTTCACTGCTATTGCTGCTCCTGTCCTGGAGTTCCCATCAGGCTACATAACAAAAGGGATACCTGTAAACAGTTTAGAAACTGGCACTCCATACAACTGTGTCAGTAAGGCTTAAGGAAGCTTTAAAAAAAACAAAACACACACAACAAGAAACCCCCAACAAAAACGAAACACCAAAACATTACTCCCATACTGACTGGTTTATAGATGTCAGAGCACCTGCCACAGATGATTTATGCTTGTCCACTCACTTTAGAGGATAGCAATGCTTAAAGAGTTCACTGTATTTCCTTAGGTCACACAGTAGGTGGCAGAGTGGGGAAATAAAAAGCAGGTCTCTTCATTTTTAACTCCTATCTATAATCTAATTATGGTGCACAGGGACTCCCCCTGGCAGAGAGCTTCACTTGACTTTTACTAGTCTTTGTTGTTTGCTTTTGCTATAAGTTAGTGCATCTTCGTTTTTCCAAAATATCATTTTTCACCTTTGAGGTATACATATATACACACACACCTGGCAGTTTTGTAAGCTTACCATGTCACCATTCACTCTGGAGCAACAGGTGTGCTTATCTTGCTATTTATTTTTTACAGGGCTGTACACACGTGCCAGCCTGTATAGGGCTTTCTGCTCCTGAGGACAAGGTGGTGAATTGCCTCAAGTTCCCACCTGGGAGTCAGAGGACCAAGCGCTGTGCTCCCAGAAACTGACAGGGCAGTCATTTTCCAGAGCTAGGAACCTGATGTACTTGAAAGAATTAAAAAAAGCCATTTTCAAGAGAAAGGGGTCATTTGCTAGAAGGTGCCTGGACTGAAAGAGGCTCCATGGAAGATGAAGAAGCTGGCCTCCCCTGACTGAGAGGAAGCGGTTGTATACAAAGCATGTTTCATTGTTCTAAAAAGTAACGCTTTGCTCTGAAGAAGCAATTTGTTCACCTGAGCAGATCACTAACAGCCATCTGCTCCTGTACAAAGATTTATGGGATTTATGGCTCCATACCTGCAGTGAAGGAAATACAGCCCAGTGCCCGCTCTGAGAAATTAAGAGAGGGATAATCAATTGCTTCCATTCTCAGTAAGGGAAGGAACGTACCTTCTGAGAAAAACTTAGATACAATTCACCTACAATCTATCATGTCAAATTCCTGACTGGTTTTTTTTTTTTAGCATGTCCTGTATATGAAAATATCTGTCAGAAAATATTCTCCTGATGATGAAAACAGGTTATTGAGTGAACAGAACAATTCAGATGACTGGTAAAGAACGTACGGAGATCGTCACTTGTATTGGGTATAAGACCCAGCCTAGTTCAGCAGCAACGTGTACCATCTGCTGCTGTTCTGTCCCCCCTATCAGCACGGTCAGCTACCGCAGCCCACTTCCTGCACAAAAGGTAGCCAAACAACAGCTAAAATTGCTTTCCAGGAAGGGCAGTTTTCAACGTCAGACCACATGCTGAACAAATAGCAAAGTTCACTCTCATCTTTTATTGAGGAGAGAATTATTCTCCTTTGTTTCTACGGAAGAACACCACTGACCACAAGGCCAACTTACGCTGGGAAAGAACTTATTCACCCTTTAGGGATTACAAACTCACATGTTTTTCAGCACTGCACTCACATATGCACACATTTGTGCAGAGAAACACGATTTTCAAGATGTTACAAGTAGCCCATAAAGAAGAGATCTGGAGTATGCCCTTCAATGGCTCAGAGAAAAATACAAAAGGCCCATTTCTTAATCTTCCTCGAAAGTAAACTCTGTGTATTTTAATAGTTAAATCCTGTTTTTAACTATTTCTTTCCTCAAAAGATACTTAAAATAACTAATGACATCACAAATGGACAGTGAGAATGGATTTGCCATAAAAGAGAGTTTTGTTAGACCCACGTTTCAGTCTTTGGGTATGCCTATCTACATGGAAAGGCAAGCAAAAGATTCCAATCTTCCAAGTAAAAACTCCGATAGAACAAGTCTAGACTCGACATTGCTGCTCACATCAGACAAAACTTTCATACTTCTGTATTACTTTTTGCTAACGTGACAATGCCCGTTCTCCACCTCACATATTTCAATAAATAAAGAACGTATGCCCATTCTCCCAATGATTTATGGCTAACCACTGCTTACTAGCTGGAGTGAGCCATTATATGTATGATTACAGTACATACTAATGCAGAAAAAAGCCTCAGTTTTTCCACTCTACAGGCCACATGACTAAACAATGAAAGAACAGTCTATTCCAGCTGAAAGTATATATCCTGCCATGACTTTTGTTGCTGTTCTGCTGTGCCATTGAGCGAAAGTGTAAGCTTTCACATAGAATGCACTACCTCGTACTGGTTAATTGACTCTAGCCTTTTTAAAGGGAAGAGAAACTATATTAATTTATCACCTTTTTCTCCTGCTATCTGAAAAATCTGTTTAGAGTCAAAGCAGAACAGGTAAGTAAATGATAGTAAAAGAAAGCAAACACAGTAAGAGATCAAGAAAAAGACAACATATTACAAAAGAGAAATCTATACTGCTTTTAGCTCATGTGGCCAGAACATAAGCACCTTAGATGAAAGACAATGTGGCACAAGTCTGTATGCTCAAATTTTAGCTGCTGACTCAGCAGAGCCAGAAAGGCGGCAAATAAAGAAATTAATAAATATCTTTGAGGAACCAAATGCTCTGCCATGACTACTTCTTCCCACAGCCCTTGCTGGGCAAGTAAAGCACCTACAAGCAGTAGCTGGCACGTTTAGTTTGAGACAGAAGTAAGTACAACCACATGATACGCACAGCTTACTAAGCATGACAGCCAGCAAGCAGATGGGAGAGAAGAGCTAGATACAAACTGAGGCCTTTGATCCAAACAACTCCAAATTTACAGACAGAAAACATGTCAGCCTAGTTACGTATGTGTATACTGCAAGAGAAGTGAGTTGCATTAGTAATGCAAAAGATGCTTACCTTGAACGCTAACTCAGAAATAGTAAGTTACTTAGACTGAGAAATGGACGCCAGTTAAAGGCACTGTTTGTTAATACTTCCCAGCTTTGCTAACAGCAGCTGAGATCCTGTAGTGATACCAGCAATGGCTGCATGCACCGTTGCATCCCTCAACAAGTAGAAGTGTTCAAAGCAGGCTTGGAGGACTGATGTTGGACAGCAGAGGCAGCAGCATGCCTCTCCTCAGGCTGCAGAGCACTGACATCATCCCCACCCAAACACGTCTCTGCACAGTTGCCTCACCTGGTGAATAACATAGATGCCGTAGTCCAGCTGCTGCCTCTGTAGGAAGGGGTGGAGATGCTCCAGGAGGTACAGCAGATGCTTCTCTCGATTGCGGTGTGGGATGAGGATTGCCACATGCTGCAATGCTGAGCACTCCGCAGGGTGATACCGGCCCTTGGATACCTGAGGGTTCTCCTTTTGCACTTCTTCTAGTGTGAGAGATGCTTTGAAGGTGAGTTTGCTGGCACCTCCTGTAGGAGAAGCACAAGAAGCTTTCCCAAGCTGTTTCTCGTTGTGGGTAGTGCAGTCACCTAATGAGGCACTCTCTAACCAGCGTAAGAAACCCAGGTTCAAGCCCCAATTGGTTTCCCTGCCTTTCCAAGAGAGAAGTAGTGCTACAAGGACATTATGCAGGCAGTGGAAGGGGAGGGTATTGAGCGTTTAGTTGCTTAAACTGATTATAGAGTAATGATAATAAAAAGGTCTATTAAATAAAAATAAAAATCAAGAGAAGTTCCACCCTACTGCGGGAGGACTGGCCAGAAACAGCTGTCAGGGCAAACCAGAGGAGAGGGAAGTGGAAAGAGACATAGGACTGTGGCTGTGAGAAGTCGCCTCTACTTAAAGCACGAACAAAAGCATGAAAGGCTTAAGGCTATAAATTTGTAAGATAAAATGTACCAAGGGTCTCTGTAGCCAAATGGAATTTCCATCACTTCTCTTGCACTGAGCTATCATTCCAGCCCCTCCAGACTCGGCAAACCCATGAAAGAGAACAATGCAGGCAACTGTGACGGCTACAGCCACAGCGTGTTCACGTAAGCAAATATGTCCTGGGGGCAGGGGCGTGGGTGTGCAGCTAGAGAGCAGCTTTTTGGACTATACTGGGGAGAAGGGAAAAATCCAGCTTCCCAAGCAAATCCCTAATCAGGTTCACAAAAAGGAAGAGGAAGAAGACAATGACATGGTATCGCAAAGCAGAAGCCTGGTGCTGCTAGCAATACCAAGACAAAAAAAGTGGACTAATAAAAATGGCCAAACCAAGGAAACAGTCACCTATCTGAACCTTCACCATAAACAGCGCTAACCCCAACGCGGCTGTGAAGTCCTTCAATTGTCGAGATAGAGACAAAAAAGTACATCTAATAATGAAAAGGCAAAAAAATTGAGGGAAGGTGAAAAGACCTGTGGTTGAGATAAAGATAGTTTAATAAAAAAGGCAAAAGCTGCACGCGTGAGCAAGGCAAAAAGAGAATTCATTCATTACTTCCCATCGGCAGGCAGATGTCCAGCCACATCCTGGGAAGCAGGGCTTCAGCATGTATAGCAGTTGTTGGGAAAACAAACGCCATAACCACAAACACCTCCCCTTCCTCATGTGCCTGAGCTTTTACTGCTGAGCACGATAAATGGTATGGTCATACGGTATGGAATATCCTTTCAGTCAGTTGGGGTCAACTGTCCCAGCTGTGTCCACTTGAAACCTCTTGCCCACCCCCAGCCTACCAGATTTTAAGGGCCAGGGAAGAGAGAGGCAAAGCCTCAACAGTGTGCAAACACTGTTCAGCAGTAGCCAACTCACCAGTGCATTACCAAAGCTGTTTTAGCCACAAATGCAAAGCACAGCACCATACGGGCAGCTATCCCCGCCAGACCGAGCACAGGCACTCTGTGCCACAAGTCGCTTCCTCACCCAGAAGTACTTATTGCAACTGGTTGTGCTGTATTTGTTTCATAGGAAAAGTGTCTAACTGTAAAACAGCTAGGAAGAAAACCAAGTCAGCAGTACCAAAGCAGATGTAACTTGTTAGAAAGGAAAGCGCCATCACTTACGCAGGTACGGAGACAGAGCTGGGCAGTGAAACAACTTCACCGTGGGAACTTTTGCAATTGATTCGATCTTCTCTTCCTTTTGACTGTCCTCCACCATGCTCTTAGCTTTGTAACTGTCCTGTCTGGAGTCCACGAAGTAACTGAATGTGGCCCATAGCACCATCAAACACAAAGTGACAAGCACCAACACTTTGAACTTATAGAAGAGGTGAAAGACATACAAGCTCAAGGCCATGGCTCTCCCTGATGTGCAAACTGTTTGCTCTGCTCTGATGCCGTGGCAGGCCACCGCACCCAGTGGGGATGAAACCAAAGGTCCTGAGAAGAATGTAACAATAAGGAAGGAAAGCTGGAGGTAGGGAGGGCTGCCACACTTCCTGTGGTTTCACAATTCATGGAGCCATGGTGCTGTTTGGTCTTCAAATGTCAGAAAATACGACTTAACCTGGACAAAAAAAAAAAAAAGGAAGGAGAGAGTTAGTTTCTACCGCCCTCCACTGCTGTACCTTCACAGACTTCATGAAAAGAGCTTACGACAAAACATGAAAGAAATAGCAAGTATGAACTACTGGTCAGAAACTAAGACACTGAGCTTTGGTCCTAGTTCAGCCACAAACCAGCTGCACGATTTTAGGCAAATCACTTTCCTGCTTTGTTCTCCACTCCCAGGCTTCCTCCCTGCCCCCTCCCCAACCGATCAGAAAGTGCAACCACTACCCCACGCTGTGTTTGTGTACAGTGCCTGGCAATACACAGGCTTTACTGCTTCTATTCCTACCAAAATTAACAACAGCTGCAAGGCAAGGGATTCTGCTGGCTGTGAGTAAAGTCAGCTCCCCCCACCAAAACGAAAAGCACATGAATCTCTGCAGAATTAAACTGTTTTCTTCTGAAAGATAGTATTATTGATGTTACGTTGCTCTGCACAACGCAGTGTGAACCCCACAATACTTGACTGGCATCAGAAATCACTCCTCCGTATCTGCTGCCCGCCAGTACCACCTTGTGGGTCTTTGCCCAGTATTCCCCTCTCACATGCTGCTGCAGGAGACAAATCTTCCTGCTTTTCAAGGGACAGGTTCAGTTTTTCAGTGTTAGGTCTGTGAGGATCCAATCCTTTGTTCTGTTTCAAGAGCTCCATTTTCATACAGCCTTTCACTGCCATCATAATATAAAGTTAGCATGCTAATACTTCTGTCTGTTATTATCATCTCATAGCAGAGAAAGAATGAAATTTTAATAAAAGAGAGCTTTGATGTGGAAAACACACGAGAAAATTGCCACCTGTGAGAAGGACAAGGACTGAGGCTAAGTGAAGCAAAGGCAGTGATTAAAGACAATGCACACGAAACAAGCTAGATCAAAGAGAAGAAACAAAAACACGGAAGGTTATTTTATACCAGCTTCAAAATACACGAGACCCTGGAGAGATATCGCAGGCAGAAGGAATATGGTAAATCTATATTCTCACTAGTTTAGCGCAGGTGTCTTCTGGAAAAGTTTGCTGATTCACGGGGACATATGTGGGAGCCAGACCTAGGACCGACAAGATGAACTACTCGATGCACTGCCCGAGCTTCCCGGGGTTCGTTGGGCATGACCAGCTGCTGTCCCTCCCGGCAGGCACTACACTGAGTGGCTAACCCGCTCTCTCCACCCACATGCACGGCACAGTGCTGCTCTAAGGAAGCGACAGAAGAGTTCTCAGTGACCTTACCACTAACGGTGAAGGATCTCCACATCCACTTCAACCACAAGAGAAGGGGGGGGGGGGATGAAGCTACACCAGAGAAGAGAATATTACTTACAAGGAAACAGGGGGGGGAAAAGAAAGGAAA